ATGTTCAAGAACTATTGAGTGCTAAGTTCACTTTTCTTATAGCACCGCACAACCTTTCTGTATTACTGACTATGTAAAGGAATCTACCGTTCGCAAAAAAACACATATTCACAGTCTGACAGTCTGTGAACTTGAGCATTATTGCAACGTGTTGTACATTTTCGGTTTCAGTAGATTGTTTAGGTAAATTACACCGTCACGGCTGGAACGATACCTTTCCAGCCAAAAACCTTCTGGATAGGCCAGCGGAAATACTCTCCTGACAATTATTGCACCAACATCGATCGGTAACTCTCTTAAGAATGGATCGGCCATGGTGGAAATTACTTTCTGTGTTGAGGAGGATGATCCAGATAACTGTCAATTAGGACTTGTTGCTCTGACAACAGCTCCAGATATAAATGACACCAGAGGAATCAAAAAATCCAGACTCAGGTCAAATTGTTACCAGTCAAGGGTGTTTGGTAGCTCACCTGGTAGAGCTGTTATCCCATGTACTGTTGTCTTCAGCTGCCCTATCAATAAAGCAAAAAGCCCCCAAAATATATTTGAAAAAAAATAAAATATATATATATATATATATATATATATATATAAATGATATATAAAAAACAAAACAAAAACAAATGGTTAACAGTCTAATCTGGACTCGGACTCTGATGGGCATGAAACAACCTTTTTTGTTTGCCTGCAAAGTCCTTGTTGCATAACAACAACGGGTGCCTGAAGCCTAAATGCTTCATATGGAGATATGAAACAACTCTTGTATATTTTCTGATCTGCCTCCTTTAGGGAAATAGTTTTGTATGTTAAACTCTGCACAGGCAGCATTCAAACAGCACACTGTAGGAACAAGAAGAAACACTGATGTTTAACTGGAGGAGGCTTTAAGCAACAAAAACTATTTGGTTAAGGTCAGGGACAGATTGCCATTACAGTTAAAAGAAATGATGGCTACTGGTTACAGAAAGTGCAGCCTGTTGTGTCAAAGTCACTTGTTTTGTCTCCTAGACAAGATTTATTTTGACTGGTGTCACAAGGTGTCACTTGTCAGGAAAATGGAGAAAGGTTGTAGTCAGACTAACAATGTTTTTAGCAATAAGCTAAAAGCAGTGGAAAGCTACACAGAGAACAAATAGATTTGACATGCAGAGTATACCGCACAGTGTTTCCACTTTGTTCCCAGGTGTAATACTGTATCGCTTTGGTTTCAAGACAATACAGTACGCAGCATGTGCGTCCCTGGCTGAATTAGATATCATAGTAACTTTATCCTGATGACAACAGGTGTGCTATTGAAATGAAGTGTCCTGTGAAGGAGGATGGGTGAGGTGGTTAGGCAAGTGATGATAATGTGGAGGAAGAAGGAAGGACCAGAATGGTCAGGTGTTGATTCAGCTCTATTTACAAAACACCAGCAGTTATTATACTGTCAAAGATAGAGCTGAATCAGCATCACTCATACACAGACTCATGTGTTGTTACTTAATTGGCTTATGTTTTATTTTACAGGTATTCATGTATTTATGTTCCTGCATCTTTATTAATTACACCATTTGTGTTAACAAATGCACGTGGGGCGCCCGGGTAGCTCACCTGGTAGAGCTAGAAGCCCCATGTACCAAGACTGAGTCCTTGCTGCAGCGGCTTCCAAGGTTCGAATCCGACCTTTGGTAAATGTTAAATGGCCCTGTGTAGCGTCTTTTTAGTCTTCCGACCACTCACTCCGACCGGGCTTTTACTTCACACACATTCATTCAGTGATGGCAAAGTCCGTCAAACAGAAACTAATGCATTTATACACACAATGCAAAAAACAACAATACACAATGGCGGGAGGAGCCAGGGATCGAACCAACAACCTTCAGATTAGTAGACGACCTGCTCTGCCTCTGCGCAGAAACCGCACTTTGCTGGGTGTTGTCCCCTCTCTCTGTCCCCCTCTTTCCTGTCTATCTTCAGCTATCACTATCATCAAAAAATACTTAAAAAAACAAAACATGTAATCTGTTCTGCTGTATTTACTTAACACATTATCTTTAACTGCTGCCTGCTGTATTGTAGCACTGCTAAACCTCTCATGGTGTGTGACTTTGACACTGGAGATCACTGTTACACATCCTGTCTTTTACTAAAAGTTAGAACCTGACCGATATGGGAATTTTGAGACCATAACAGAATCTGAAGAAGAAGAATTCCCCGATTACTAATATAGCGGTTGATAAAGTAAAGTTTTGAGCTGGAATGAAAATAAACTATTTCAATGTGATGATGAGAAGATGTGAGATTTTAAAATAATATGACTGCACAGGTACTCGGTCTTCTTTCTTAAACAAATAACTTTATTATTGATATATATAAGCTCAATATTCTTTAACATATTAAATAATGTATTGTCAACCAGTTCTAGCTAACATTGCTGAGAGCTGCTTCTTCTCTCTTACTCTGTGCTGCTTGCCACAGCATTGTAAATCACAGCGCACTCTGCTGGATAAACTTTGCAGTGACACAATTTTTTCTGCAGCTACAGTCTACACTATAAAACCAGGTAAATTAATCTAACTCAAAATGTTGTTGAAACTGATTATGTTGAGAATTTTAAGTAAAACTAACTTAATTTTGTAAGTTAAAAAAGATTCTTGATCAAGTAGTTTTAGTAATTTTAAGTGACACTGACTGAATTTTGTAACTTTTATTTGTACTGTGAAAACAAAATACCTAGTAAAAAGTACTTACTCAAAACGGCCCCTTAAAATTACTAGTAAGAATCTTTTTAACTTAAACAACTTGTTGAGTTGTTGTTACTTATAATCAGTTTTAACCTGTTTATTTAAAAGGACTTATAACTTTACAGTGTACAGCAGTGTTTCTCAAACATTTACACCGTGTACCACCTGAGAAAATATCATGCTCTCCAAGTACATTATGACCGAAATACAGTAGTGTAGGCCAACCATATTCAGCTACAGACAGATCACAGATTTATTGCTGGCTGTTGTTGAATCCTGAACTGGTTCACGAACCAGAGCTGATTTGGTGGAAAAGGGGTCCTCCTGGTCCACATTTATCTTCCCAATAGTTCCCGTTTGAAGCCACAATTGCAGTGTTTTTGAACCATTCATTTTACTTCCGCTCACTATCTTACCATCACATTTTAGCTCCTAACTAATTACTGGTGACTGAGCTCTACATGCATGGATGTGACTACACAGCAGGCTAATATATGAACAAAATATTACAGCAAATGCAAAAGAATCTCATAGTATTTTTATTTGACATTTTGTAGTATTTTTATATTATTACATGTTTCTAATTTATTCAATTAAAAATTATATTTCAGAGATTCCTACAGTACCACTACAGTCAGCTTCTAGAAGTAGGCTACATCTTGTTTCGTGATGTTCTAATGTAAACATTGGTGTACCTGAACTGGATGGAGTTTTACTACCTTGTATCAGGAAAATGATATAAGACATGCAGCTTTAACCAGCTGCCAATGTCACATCTGGAAACTTCACAGACTGAAAACACTCCAGATAAACTGTTACACTGCCAAACTGCCATGCGCACATCATGGGAACTCTTATTATTTAATAACAACCTGAAGGGCACTAAAGCTTACATACAGCCACACGTGTGCGTGCGTGTGTGTGTGTGCGCGCGTGTGAAACATGTACAAACACACACTAATTCTTGGCTTAATGTTTGGTGATTTAGAGTCGGCAGAGGTCGGACACACACATAAGCGTGCACAGACACACACACACTATCTAAGAATAGTCAGTTCACACATAGCGGTGCTGGGGCTCAGAAGGCCAGTTACTGTAAAAGGATTTTCAGAAGTTGAGTTCTGAAGGCAGAGCTGATCTGTACAGCAGGCCCTCTTCTACTCCACCAGCCTGAGAGCTGAGAGAGAGATAGAGTCTCTCACCCTGGGACATTAATCGGCTCATTAATGTTCTTTCTTCTAAACTGCTGGAATTAAAGTTCCCCTCTCCGTTTATGGTCTTCTATTGCTGCTACAACCATTACTTCTAAAGGAATCACTACTTAAACCGGGCATATTATCACAGCAGTGGTGTCTATGACTACTAATGCTGTTACTAATACTATTTATATATCTCTACTGGTATTACTACTGCTACAATATCAAAACTGTTACCGCAATACTTACTCACTGTTGTACAATCTTCATGCTGGAGAGAAGTGATCAACTGTGTCACATAGTTTTTATCATCAAAGTTCATCCTTGACATGGGAATTAGACTCAGGATAAAGATAGCAAATGGAATTTTGTCAAATGAGATTAAAAAGAAGAAAGAATAAGAAAAAACTCAAATGTTCTCTAAAAGAGAATTTAGAGGTCATTTTGCATCAAAACTGAAACAAAGGAAAAGTTATTTAATGCGTTCAGTGTTCATTGGTTGCAAGAGCTGTGTGACACAGATACCTTTTATAATGGCAATAATTGTATGCCTAAAATCTCTTTAATCTGCAGCATATATAGCAGGAAATGCTATAAAATACCACAATAGACATAGAAACACATGTATGCTTTTTTTTTTTTAGTTATGGTAATCTAATGTGTCTAATTGTCTCGGCAAGAGAGGTGACAGGAATCTATCAACTATAGATTTTGAGAGCATACAAACCTTGCAATCCCACGAATAGAGATTGGATTCAAAGGTAGAGAGTGCAATAAAAAAAAGGTAATAATACTGGAAAGATCATGCTGTGTACCCACAGGTGGTGTACATTGTTTTGTTCCTGCTTCCATGTCGTTGCCATGACACTTTCAGCATGTGCTAATAATGTTTGCTGTGAATAAGAGGGGTACTTTAGGATTCAGGCCTATAAGCATTGATCTAGCAGAGGTGTTTCCCTTCCTTTATTCATATACTGTATGTACACCACACCACATCTTCAACTAATAAGTACTCTTAAGTTCTGGTTTATTTCACTATGCTAAAGTCACCTCTCTCTATGTGTCTCTCTCTCTGCAGCCATTGGAGTCCAGATGACTCTGGAGATGATGGAGTCCAGATTCTGGGCCATTGCAGCACAGGTCAGTACATACAGCTCAATGTGTTTT